TTAATCCGTTAAGTACGAAAGTTCACAGACAGTAAAATATCTAAACGTAAATAATGAAATAGTTTAGGTAGAGTTGGATGATAATTGAATATTGAGAGAATCGTGGTCAGTCTTCTAATATTACTACTACAACTACGACTGCGACTACTACTACTACTACTACCACTACTACTACTACAAATACTACATCTACGGCTGTGATTACGACTACACCTATAACTACTACTACTACTAACACTACCACTACTATTACTACTATCACTACTACTGCTACTACTACTACTACCAATTCCACTCCTACTACTACTACTACTACTACTACTACTACTACTACTACTACTACTACTACTACTACTACTACTACCTACTACTACTACTACTACTACCTACTACTACTACTACCACTACCTACTACTACTACTACTACTACTACTACTACTACTACTACTACTACTACTACTACTACTACTACTACTACTACTACTACTACTACTACTACTACTAGTACACCTACGACTACTACATCTACGACTACTACTACTACTACTACTACTACTACTACTACTACTACTACCACTACTAACAATAATAATAATAACATGAATAATACCGCTACTGTTACACTAATACTCATACTACTACCACACATACGATTACTCGACATTACTTAAACTGTCAAGAATTGGTGTGTCCGAGTTTCATTTGATCTAATAATCCACAATTATAAGTCGTTAATAATTCCGAACATAATTATCATAGTTCAAGCTGTATATATCCAGATAAAGTATTAAATGGGAGTAATACTGTGATTTGTAAACGTTAATAGTAAATACATTAGAGTTCTGTTATCATAGCAACAAGTAATTGAGAACAAGTGACATATATGTGTAACAGTGTATTTATGAGCGGTAATCAATGTGTCGTGCTATGGGGAGGGTGGTTGGAAATAGAGAAAAGGAAGGATTCAAGAGTCTTTATATACTCTAAGTGTATAACAGACGCCAATTAAAAATGTAAAATGAGTTTTCCTATCACATTGTTTTTCTAAAGCTCAATATGAACCTAATATTCATTACATGTTAAATTGTTTTTTTTCTTTATTACGTAATCATAGAAACTCTAAAGACAAGTGAAGAGAATTTGAGAAATACCGCGAAACAAATTAGAGAGCTGATATGTAAGTTCACGTAGAAGTTCTGATATCACAAAGACAAAATTAAAAACATAAGTGTTTTATATTTACTCATCTCACTAATGAATCTTTAACAGACTGTGATGTGAGCTACTTATATCCACATAAGTAGTATATAATGGTAGTCGGGAATAGAAGGTATTTCAGTAGAAAATCGATAAGGAAAAAATGGGATCCGAAAGTAATTGGTATGGAAATGAAGAAACAATAAAATCTGAGAAGATGGAATGATATTTACAAAAGGAACAGTCAAGTTGGATACAATTGTTATACGTTCTATAAATTTATATTCAAATACATTCGATTGTCACCACCCATGTTCTTGTTCACTACAATACAACATATTTGTATCAGAGAGAGTTTTGTGGAGATTATTAGTAAGGTCAATAGTTGATATCCTAAGTCAATTGAAGTTAGACCACCATGGAAAACATGGAAGGACTGAACGGCCGTTTTGTCCTATTGTGGGATTCCACAGCAGTGCGCATCCTCGACATATTTGTTGATTATTTGATAGTTATTTTGTAATTTTCAATTTATCCACCCTAATCAACCCCAAAACTATCACAAATTTTGTACCTCTTTTAATTTTACAAATTGGACACATAAATTTGATTGAAGACATTTGATCATTATAGTTTCGGAAAAATTTCAAAAGATTGGGATTCGAATGAGTGTATCCATTTGATGTCTTGTATCAAAGAGATGTCTTGTGATTACTTTTACTAAAGTAGTCCTGTTACCTCTCTCGGAAGAGCATATGCTACCTACCAGCATTCTCCATCCAACTCTGTCCTACGCAATCCTTTCCAGTTCTTTCCAGTTACTATTCATTCTTCTCATATCTGCTTCCAATTCTCGATACAGTGTGTTCTTTTGCATTCTTATTCCTGTTTCCTTTCAGAATTCGAAGTTAATACTCGCCTCATGATGCAGTTTGATGATTTCCTCAATGTGTTGTCCTATACACTTCCATAATCTTTTCCTGATTTCCTCTTCAGTTGGAAGCTGGTTTGTTCTCTAACACAGTAGACTGTTGCTGATGGTATCCGACCAACGGACTTGTACACTTTGATGATGGTTGTGATGGTTCTCAAGGTTTCCGCTCCGCATGGTAGTAGTGGTAGTGACTTGACGTTTGTATTGAAGATTGTGACATTGATATTGGTTGTCAGTTGTCTTGAGTTCTATATGTTCCTCAATTGTAGGAATACTGTTCATACATTGCCATTCCTCGCATTTACATCTGCATCATGCACTCCTTGTACATTGATGATGCTGTCCGGATATGTGAAGGATTCCATCTCTTCCAGAATGTCTTCATCAAGTATGGTTTTGTTATATTTAGGGATCTTACTTTATCTCTTGTGTTTGTTGAGACCTACTAATGTCTACTAATGACCTACTAATGACAGATGATTCATAAATAATCAAATCCTAATCTTTTGAAATTTATCCAAGCTATTGTGTTTAAACCTCTTCAACCAGATTATTGTATCCAAAATAGAAACAATAATACATAGTTCTTTGTCCTGATAACATTACATCATTCAATATTTCAACTGTTTCTCAAGTTCTGATTTCATCATCATCATCATCCAAATCATCATCATCATCATCATCATCATCATCCAAATCATCATCATCATCATCATCATCATCATCATCATCATCATCATCCAAATCATCATCATCATCATCATCATCATCATCATCATCATCATCATCATCATTTTTCTTTAATTCATTAAATTGACTGGATTCCAAGTCAGATCTATATGAATAACCATGAAAGACTTGAGTGTATCTATTTGATGTTTTGTATCATGGAAATGTTCTGAGATTAGTTTTACTTACTTACTCCTGTTATCTCTCATGGAAGAGTATAAGCTGCCCACTAACAAATGATTACATCAACAGCAACCACAAAATTCCTTGAACATTTTCCACTGTTTGAAGTGGATACCTATCCTTCCCTGACACAAATTAACTCCATTAGTCATGGCTTCTCATTAGAACTTTAAGAATCTAATCACTAATGAACATATGAAATTGTGGAAACTGTTGAGTTCTTGATCGAGATCACAAATAATAAGAACAACAACAACAAGATCCATTCAGTTATCTAGGATCATATCAACTTTCTATTATGATTATCTAATAACATAACTTACATTTGTTTCACATTATTATCGTTATCATTTTTCTTTAATTCATAAAATTGGCTAAATGCCAATTCATATGTTGATTACGTAATCATCTAATTCTATATGTTCTAATCCTTAGTTCGATATTCTGGAACCTTCTCGGTGAAATAGAAATTCTTTATGTCTTTATTCAATTCTAATTAGAATCTTCACTATATTCTATAGTACATATTGTCTTTATTTCTAATTCACTTGCATATTTGTAATTAGGTCAATATTTGTAATAATGTTGATTTCAAGTGATAAACAGCTAATGAGAAGATAATGAAATGTAATGAATCCATTTTATTATCAAATTTTGATGATCAATGCCAAAATAGTACGAAACTCGAATCTAGGGTTTCGTGTTGACTATCTTCAACTACTATCTTATCATAATATATTGTACAAAATATCAAGTCATTTAGACTAATGACCATATTGTGAATTAGTTGATAGGATTCGATCTACACTGTGAAGGATATGATATATATGATATTGATCACTACTCAGTGATTAATCAATTGTAAATATATCTTATTCCTATAAGAGGTCAGTCGCTGCCCGGATGGTTCAATGACAACTTCTCTGAGTGTGAAACTGAGTGACATAGGATCGAATCCGTTAGGGAGTATCAGTTCCTTCAAGAATAATACAGGTACATCTTGCTGATGAGTGTTAAGTAATACAAAACCTAGGTCCAAGCTTTCCTGTTGACTAACTCCAATCACCATTTTATCTCAACATAGTGTAAGCAATGTCGAATCATCTATGTAATGGACGAGAACACAAATGGAGACAATTAAATGTATTTGAATACAAAATTACAGAACATCTTATTGAAATCTGAGAACCATATAGTGAATACTTCATTTGTCAATCGTCTCACAACTTATTGTTCCTGTATTTTCATACGAAATGATCTCTGTTCCTGTTCTTTCCTCCACGATCTTTTGTTGCCAGATATTCTAATCCTAACTATTGTTATATATTACTCATGTTGATATATGTAGCGCATACCACAATCTAGACTAGCAGCCACATTACAACTCGATCGAGAGAATTCAATCTGCACTACCCAGTGATCAATCAAATATAAATCAACCTTCGTTTTTTGCTCTTTCACTTACTCACTCATTCAGGTACACCTTGCTGAAAAGTGCCAAATAACACGAAAGCGGGATCTAGGATTGCTTGTTAAATACCTCAAATCATCATCTCATCTCAATATAGTTCACGCAATGTCAAGTCACCTAAATTAGTAGCCACATTACAACTTCGTTGATAGCATTCAATCTACACTAAGACTTGATACACATGACATTGATCACCACCCAGTGATCAATCAATTGGGATCACTCCCTCCCTCCCTCCCTCTCTCTCTCTCCCGTTTTTTCTCTAAACACTCCAATTTTTTTAAACATATTTTAATGGCATAGTAACAAAATTATAAAATTGATTTTACACATTAAATTATTTCTATTATTTGTTATTTTATTTTGTTTTTCTATATATAGATGAAATCAATGAAAAACTTTCAATAAAATCAATATCAATTAATCAATGTATGATCATGACATAATAGATAATAAAACATTTCAATTATTCTAGATGTGGAATGTATGGAAAAATTTTTAGAATTTGATAAGAGTGTTCAACAAATGCAAGGTATGTTATTACATAATCATGATAGAATATTGATATGATCCTAGATAACTGAATAGATCTTGTTGTTGTTGTTGTTGTTGTTGTTGTTCTTATTATTATTATTTGTGATCTCGATCAAGAACTCAACAGTTTCCACAATTTCATATGTTCATTAGTGTTTAGATTCTTAAAGTTCTAATGAGAAGCCATGAATAATGGAGATAATCCGTGTAGAGTGTGAGACAGTAGTTAGTCACTGAAGATAATGTTAAGTGGTTAGACAATATCATGGATTGGTTCAAGTGAGATATTAGCATCGTTGGATAACATCTTAGTGGTCTAGGAATTAGGTATTTGTGCACCACACCCACGGTGTTCGTTTTAAATCCCCTTTGTGTAGTATGTTTAGACACAGCTAGCACATAATCTATCACTATCAGGGATCACATTGATCGGTTGATAATGTGAAATGATGAAAATAGTCAAAAATCTCCAAAACCCTATACTGATGTTTATGATGATGTGTTGGCTAACGGCTAGTGACTACCTTGGAGAGGTGAATCTCGGAGTTGTAGTAAGAAGCCATCACTAGTGGAGCTGATCCATGTCGGGGAAGGATAAGTATCTACCTCAGACAATGGAAAATGGTTGTAGAATTTCGTGGATGGATTGAAATTAAATATTAACACTATTAGATGCTAGCTCAGTAGTTTAGAGGTTATACGTTCGCGCTCAAGATCGAAGGTCCTTTGTTTGAATCCTACGTGCAGGATCGTGGATGAGCACTGTTCATGAGTCCCACAATAGAATGAAAAGGCAGTCCAAACGCTTCCAGGTTTTTAATGTTAGTCAAACATTCATAGATTCATGATCTTAATCAAAAAAAAAAAAAAGAACAATCTCCACAACTCCATACTGAATACTATTATTAGTAGTAGTACTACTAATTGTTTTATTCAATACTATATGTTCTCAGCACAAACTATTTCAACGATTTTCTTTCCCAAACAAAAATTTAAAGAGAAAAAACTGATAACTGTATACAAATACACATAATATCAGAAGGGATTTTGGTGGATATTATAGTTATTTCAATAGTTCAGATCATGATTCAATGAAAGATAAACCAACATGAAAAATCTGGAATTACTGGATGGCCATTTTGTCCTGTCATGAAACTCCTCAGCAGTGTGAATCCACGAACCCGCCTCACAAGATTTGAACCCAGGACTTATCAGGCTCACGCGTAAATGCTTAACTATAAGACTATTGAATCCGTCAGTGTTAATGTTTAACTTCAACGAATCCATAAAATTGAACAACACATCCATCATTTTCATCAGTGAATCTCACAATCTTACAATAGACTTGGTTGAACTCCATTGGTTACTGCTTCTCATAAGAACTAAATTCAATAAATAAACTACCTAGAATCAAAGAAGATCTAAATCCGTACCACTACTTTAATTAAGAACATGTTTATGAATACAATTGATTGACTAGGTCAAGTCGAACAACCCATTTGTCACAGTATATTTGTTAGATAAGGTATTATAGAGTTTTTAATACCTTTCCTTATGCTCATAGATTCTAATGTATGGACGTCTTGTTCTACTAAAGGATATACAATGAGAAAACTATGAATGATTAGGATCTGATAAGATAATATCTGCTTACAGTTTGGAAGAATTCAATTGTCTATCAACAATCAATATTAATAGTGATCTGAAAAGATTCACTATACACTTTACTGATTAACTGCTTTTGTAGTGAACAAGAACACAAGTGGGGGGAGGAGGGACAATCGAATGTATTTGATACGAAATTACAGAGCGTTTCACTAAAATCTCAGGACTATATAGTAAATAAATAACAATGGGAAGATATAAGTAAAACAACACCAATTGAATTTAAACTTCACCACAATGCATAAGTAGGTGGCTATCAGGACTCAGTACCTAAGTGAATAATGCAATAGCGTTTGAGGCAAACGGTACTGAGATCGAGTTCCGGAGTGAACATCAACTCTGAGATGCAGGTACATCCAGCTGACGAGTTCTAAATAGGACGGAAAGTGCATCCTGGATTCCACTACTAGCTACTATTCATCTTTGCTTAAAAAGCTTGTGAATTAAGACTATATCGAGGCAATCCACACAGGATGCATATATGCCAATATGAGAGACTGATCAATTTCAGTCCTAAGTAACAATGGTAAGATACAAATAAAACAACACCAATTGAATTTACAGATAGTAAATAGTTATTTTACAAAATATCAATCTATCGTCTCAAATTTGGCTGTTCCTTTGAGAATATCAGTCCATTGTATTCAGATTTCATTGTTCATGCATTTTCATACCAATTGCGTTCCGTTCACGTTCTTTCCTTATCAATCTTCTGTTGAAATACATTCTATGCCTGACTACCATTATATACTACTTATATGAATATAAGTAACCCACAACACATCTTTGGTGGTCGACTGGATTATGAAGACCTCGACATCTGAGAGAAACTACGGCATACGATGGACAGCTCAGAACCAATTAGACGACTTGGACTTCGCAGATGACCTAGCCCTCCTATCACATACACACGAACAAATGCAGATAAAGACAGCCAGCATAGCAGCAGTCTCTGCATCAGTAGGCCTCAACATACACAAAGGGAAAACCAAGGTCCTCAAACACAACACGGAGAACAGCAATCCAATCACTCTTGATGGCGAAACTCTGGAAGACGTGGAATCCTTCACATACCTGGGAAGCGTCGTCGATAAACAAGGAGGTTCAGATGCAGACGTCAAGGCGAGGATTGGCAAAGCTAGAGCGGCATTCTTTCAACTGAAGAACATATGGAACTCAAAACAACTTTCAACCAATATCAAAGTCAGAATCTTCAATACGAACGTCAAGGCAGTTCTACTGTACGGAGCTGAAACTTGGAGAACTACAACAACCACCATCAAGAAGGTACAGGTATTTATTAATAGCTGTCTACGCATGATACTCAACATCCATTGGCCGGATACCATCAGCAACAGCCTTTTGTGGGAGAGAACCAACCAGCTTCCAGCTGAAGAGGAAATTAGGAAAAGACGATTGAAATGGATAGGACATACATTGAGGAAATCATCAAACTGCATTACAAGACAAGCGCTAACTTGGAATCCTGAAGGAAAGCGGAAAAGAGGAAGGCCAAAGAACACATTACGTCGGGAAATAGAAGCAGATATGAAAAAGATGAATAAGAAATGGAAAGAGCTTGAAAGGATTGCCCAGGACAGGGTTGGATGGAGAATGCTAGTGAGCGGCCTATGCTCCTTCACGAGGAGTAACAGGCGTAAGTAAGTAAGTAAGTACAACACATCTTGACTCATGAGACAACACTGAAGGAATTTTCTAAGCTATTCATCGTAACTACGATTTCTATGTGGATATGCATCGACATAAATGTAAATTATCTCTCCTAGTTGTTGTATTATATCTATGGAATAAGATATCTATACTGTAATATTGAATATAACTTATGTATAACATAAACAGTCGAATTGATTTCATTTGTTCAACTCATTCGTTTAGATTTCATAAATACAATAAATAATATCGAAAAAAGATATCGTAAGTATCAGTATGAGGTTGTGAAGATCGTTGAGTTTTTCAGTGAGATCATGAACCGATTGAAGTTAGACTATCATTGGCTCAATGGTCTAGAGGATAAGCATTCTCGTGTAATACCGAAGATCCTGGGTTTGAATCCCAAGAGCGAGATCGTGGATGTACATTGTTCAAGAGTCTCAGTGCTTTCAGGTTTTAAATAGTGTTTGAACATTCATCTGTCCATGATCTCAATCAAGAACATATTTTAAGTAGTTGTTATAATTTGTTTAATTAATAATATCATAAACACTAGACATACTAACAGATTTTGATGGAATAAAGCTTATCATATCATGTATACAATGCTTTATGCTGATGTAGTGAACGAGAACACAAATAGGGACAATCAAATGTATTTGAATACAAAATTACAGAACATCGCAGTAAAATATCAAAACCATACAGCAAATACATCATTTGCGAAATGTCAATCAATCGTCTCAGACTTCAATGTTTGTTCGCTTCTATACCAATAGCTTTCTGTTCCAATTCTTTCCTACTCGATCACCTTGACCTTCTGCTGTCAGATATTCTATTCCTTACTAGCGTCATATACTACTTATGTCGACATAAGTAATAGACACCACACCATCGAGCACCTCACTTACAGGCACTCATCGTCGTCTGCAGTACAGCACCCTTTCCTCCTCCTAGTTGACAGCGACATCAAATGTAGTGAATGAAAACACAAGTGGGAACAATCAAATGTATTTGAATATAAAATTACAGAACATTTTAGTAAAATCTGAGAACTATATAGTAAATGCTTCATTTGCAAAATTTTAATCATTTGTCTCAGACTTGATTGTTCTTTCGTTGCCACATCAGTCATTCTTTGTTCTCATTCACTTTTCTTTGATCTTTTTAAATTTCTGCCTCCAAACATTTCACTTTCTATTGGTGATATATATATATATATATTACTTATATCTGTTGACATCAGTAGCACATACCACAGTAGAACTATCGAACAGACGATTAAAAGACTGTCAAAATACAATAAATTCTTTAGAGTCAATAATACTCTTTCATAATTTATAAATGCAATTCCTTCATCATCATCCACGTCCATATCATCACCATCATCATCATCATCATCATCATCCAATTCATCATCATCATCATCATCATCATCATCATCATCATCATCATCCAAATCATCATCATCATCATCATCCTCATCATCATCGAAATCATCATCATCATCATCATCCAAATCATCATAATCATCATCATCATCATCATCATCATCATCCAAATCATAATGATCATCATCATCATTATCATCATCATCATCATCATCATCCAAATCATCATCATCATCATCATCATCATCCAAATCATCATCATCATCCAAATCATCATCATCATCATCATCATCATCATTAAATCATCATCATCATCATCATCATCATCATCATCATCATCATCATCATCATCCCAATCATCATCATCATCATCATCATCATCCAAATCATCATCATCATCATCATCATCCCAATCATCATCATCATCATCATCATCATCCAAATCATCATCATTATCATCATCATCATCATCCAAATCATCATCATCATCATCATCATCATCATCATCATCATCATCCAAATCATCATCATCATCCAAATCATCATCATCATCATCATCATCATTTAAATCATCATCATCATCATCATCATCATCATCCAAATCATCATCATCATCATCATCATCATCATCATCATCATCATCATCATCATCCCAATCATCATCATCATCATCATCATCATCCAAATCATCATCATTATCATCATCATCATCATCCAAATCATCATCATCATCATCATCATCATCTTCTTCTTCTTCTTCTTCTTCACATTAGTGTTATTCCATTTCATTTCCATTAAATAGATGTATTTCATTCAAAAGCATCCGAATGGAAAAGGTGCTATCGGAGCTACTTAAGAATTTATCGTGGTAAGATTATATATATCAATCTATTCTATTGTATTATTTATTCTTTATAGTTATTCTTTAGGTCTAAATGAAATACAAAATGTTTTACTAATGTTTTATCGTCCATTTTTACTTATCATTCGTTCTATTATAATGATCAACTTATAGTATATTCACTTATCTAAGTGAATACACTATGCTATGATTGGAGTCCCTCCGGGGGCTTTTACTGGTCCCAAGCCCGGTTAAAGGAGGAGGGTTTGGCATGGGGTTAGCTACCCCATCCTGTAGAAAACTAATTCGCTAAATAAACGCTAACCAGAAAAAACTTTTCAAACCATTTAAACTCTGCCCTAGGAGTCAGAAGGTCTTCGTTTAGAAGAGTTATGATGCCTCATGATGAAAGCCGAGTTCCTTCGGAAGTCATGAGGCTGATGCCCCTTCTGACAACTAGAGCAACCATTTATTTAGGTACATGGAATGGTCGTACATTGTGGAAGACTGGGAGAGTTTTCCGAATTCCTGCAGATAATTGGAGACAGTGAGTTGGATATTGTAGACTTAAGTTTTGTATTATATGACAGTTGACACGAATATCTATATCTACAATCTGGATAGAACTGATACTTTGTGTAAGATTTCAATCCGAATCAACCAATTTCATAATTTCAAATGTTCCTATTGAGTGATTTGAACTATGATCACATCTGAAAGTCAGGTAATCAGTCAGCTACAACGTAAAACAAGGCACGTATCTGCAGCAGTTCAAGTTACCACACCTCATTAACACAACAATATGAACATCAAATTCATAGAAGTTAGATAATTCAGTGGTAGTAATATATGAAAAAAAGATTGAGTATAAGGATATAGTACTGGAAGAACGAATTAGTTCGTAGAAAGAAAGATATGAAGCGATTTTAATCTCATAGTTTAAGGAAAGACAGAGTGTATACATATACACCATTGTGATCGATTCTGAGCCATGTCACCAAGAGTCTTCAACCATTGGTTACGATAGTCACGTGAAGCTCAACCAAGTAGTCGGCATCTACCAACATGGTTCAGACCAGAAGTTAGTGACTTCAAGCACTGATGTCACATTTCAGTTTGGCCTCCCTTAACTTTCTTCCAACCATCCCTAACACCGGTTAGCATTGCACGTCGTGGTAATCAATTTTCAGGTATACCCAACACGTGGCCCAACCATCTCAGTCTATGAAGATTTACAACCTCATCAATTGATTTACCATAATTCCCTAACACTCAGTAGCTAAGTGGATAACGCAATGGCATTTGAGGCGAACAGTACTGGGTTCGAGTCCCAAAGTAAATATCAACTCTGAGATTCATATACATTCGGCTGACGAGTTTCAAATGGAATGAAACGCGTGTCCTGGATTCCACCGCTAGCCACTATCCATCTTTGCTTAGTATTTACTTTTCTTACTCTTGTTACTACCAATGGAGCATAGGTTACCGACCAGCATTCAACACACCCACTCTGTCCTGCGACTTCCTTTCCAGTTCTATCCAATTGTCGTTTATTATTCTCATGTTTGTCTCCATTTCTCGGTGTAATATGTTCTTTGGTCTTCCATACACAAAACATCAAATGATGTAAGTACTCTCAAGAATTCATATGATTTGACTACTTATAATGGAATCAATCAGTAATATACAAACTATCATGTACGATATTTATTTCATTAAGATAAACAATTAAGTATGATATGGTTGACTCCACCTAGAGTCCCTCTGGGGGCTACTCACGGTCCCAAGCCCGGATAAATGAGACGGGTTGGGTATGGAGTTAGCGACCCTATCCCGTAGAAAACTAACTCGCTAAAAAACGCTAGCTAGAAAAAATTATAAAAAGTGGTAACTTGTAAAATTAATAATTTACAATTTTTATTCATATCTCAATAGATAAATTGCCTGAAGTTCAAAAGAGAATGTGCAATTCATATTTAAAATCCAATCGACAAGGTAACTTGGATTAAATTATACTATCACTGTTAGAAATGCATGATTTAGATGAAACATTTCAATCAGATTTTGTTTACATTATATATATATATATATATATATATATACTTATTTACTCCTGTTACCTCTCGTGGAGGATCATAGGTAGACCTTCAACACCCTCCATTCAACTCTGTCCTACGCAAACCTTTCCAGTTCTTTCCAGTTACTATTCATTCTTCTCATATCTGCTTCCAATTCTCGATACAGTGTGTTCTTCCGCATTCTTATTTCCTGTTTCCTTTCATAATTCAAAGTTAGTACTTGCCTCATGATGCAGTTTGATGATTTTCTCAATGTGTTGTCCTATACGCTTCCATAATCTTTTCCTGATTTCCTCTTCAGTTGGAAGCTAGTTTGTTCTCTAACACAGTAGACTGTTGCTGATGGTATCCAACCAACGGACTTGTACACTTTGATGATGGTTGTGATGGTTCTCAAGGTTTCCGCTCCATATGGTAGTAGTGGTAGTGACTTGACGTTTGTGTTGAAGATTGTGACATTGATATTGGTTGTCAGTTGTCTTGAGTTCTATATGTTCCTCAATTGTAGGAATACTGTTCATACATTGCCATTCCTCGCATTTACATCTGCATCATGCACTCCTTGTACATTGATGATGCTGTCCGGATATGTGAAGAATTCCATCTCTTCCAGAACATCTTCATCAAGTGTAGTTGTGTTGATGTTCTCCGTGCTGTATTTGAAGGTCTTGCTTTTTTTCTTGTATATGCTATGGCTTACTGATGCAGAGACTGTCGATACACTAGGGACTTTACCCTTAACTCAATGGTCTCCCAGTCCTGATAAGTCTTGGACATTGAACATTCAACTTGCCGCCTTTCGTGTGCACCCTGTTCACACTGAACTTGAAAAACTAGCTACCTTGTTGCAGTCTAGTTAGTTTTGCTATTAAGAGAATATATATATCGGTAGTTATAATTTTTTCCTAGAAAACATTAAGAATGATTTGTTTGTTTTATGCATTGAAACATCACTAAAGATATTAAGAATTCGTATAAGAAGGGGACTTTTGTGGATATTATTATAGTAATTTCAATAGTTTACATCATGAATCAATCAAAGCTAGACTACCATGGAAAACCTGGATTAATAATAATAATCTTCCATTTTTTTAATAAATACTCTACCATTGTCAACTAATGCACACATAAATATCTGAAAGGAAGTAATCTTTGAAATGAATTACAGTTGATGTTCGAATTCTGCTCATTAATTGTTATGTAATATACAAGATACTAGAGAATAAGACTGATGTGAATAACACCATTGTGAGATAGTAAATCACTGGAGACAATGGTGGATATGTTTCGTTAATTTCGTGCATTGGTTGAAGTTAGACGCTAATACCGTTGGGTGCCTTCTAGCTCAATGGTCAAACAGTTAATCGATCATGAGCGAGACCGATAGGTCCTGGGTTCGAATCTCTTAGGGTGGGATCGTTTCTGAGCACTCTTGAGGAGTCTCGCGATAGGACAAGACGACTGTCTACTGCTTTCAGGTTTTCCGTGTTGGTTTAGCTTCAAATAACTCATAATCTCAACTATTGAAATTACTACAATCTCCATTAAAACCCCTATCTGATAATAACACTGATAATTCGTGTATTTACATCGAATAAATTGCCTATTTTTTTCAGGTGTTATCAATCTTATAAGCCTAATGAAATCACAACGCAGCAACATTAATAAATATAATAGCAATTTATGTAAGTGACTAGAACTTCTATTGAGACTATAATTTATGAACGAACCAATCAGATTTAAGGTAAAAGGTCTTTGATTTTGGCGCGAAATTCATTCATCTATTTGGCTAAATAGAGTCTTTGCATTATAGCTGATGTCATTTCATGATGAAAACCCTAAATCTAGTTCTTAACCCTAACCATCAACTATAAATCATAATCTTCATTCTTCACACAGGTTTATAATACTTATTTAGCTCTAGCAAGTAGGTGGACATCCCCATGGTCACTTTAACGTCACTCAAATGTCGTCCATAAATTATAGTCTCACAGAATTTTTTTATTCAATAATAGTCTTTCTGAAAACTTATGAATGTAACTTAACAGTATGAATGAGAACTTAAAACATCAAATATAGCCATAAGTTGACAAGTTAATTAATCGATTGACTGAATGATTGACTAAGCCAAGCAGAGAGAGACTTTCTTATCTCTTAAGATGTGAGTTCGTCTTTAAAAAGCTGGATACTTATAGTGTCGGTTACTATGTTAAGCCCATATACTTTATTCTAGCTTGTGGATTGGCTAATTTATCCGTTCTTCTTGAGTCACTTTCCGACCTTGTTAGTTATTTGCCTATCAACCTTGACTGTTTTCATATGAGCGTATGTGCGCATATTTCCTATCCCATTTATCACATGTCTACAGCTTAATTTTGTGTGACTATAAATATTGATTAACGTTTGGTTGAATAGGTTGGCTTATATGCAATCTCCATTGGGCGTCATTTCGTTTCATTTCGCTCTCTATTATTCGCTTGATTCTCTGAGATTCTCTGATTGTCTATTCCGATCAGTGAGTGTACAAAATATACGTATTCAAATATCCATTTTCGTACTTGGCTTATTTGATTCCGTTATATACTAAAGTAATTTAAGTCGATGATTATATACGAGGACTGACAATATGTATAAGTCCATAACGGTAATCTCACGATCTAAGTGGAGTCAGATATTCATGGGCCAATAAATGATTACACTAGAAATTATATATCACTCTACTGATAAAGTTATAACAATGTTTTATGTGCACAGACTAAACATATTGAGTATGCTGATCAAACGAGAATAAACGATATATATATTTCGACAGCAATTATTCATTCGATCTAACTGGAATCTTATCCAGGACCGCTCTAGTGGTGTGTCCGTCGATAACATTGTCCGATCTAATTTTTGTCCAAATGAAGAGCCCCACTAAAAACTGACCATGTCAAAAACTTTGGGAACGTTAAAATACAGCATCAAAATTGAGCTGTTTTTAACTGAGTCCACTAAAGACCAAATTAAAACAGTCAAAAGCACACATTATACAAAATCTAGTTTCAAATAAGCCGCGTTGGTAATCGTTGATATGTTAGTCCGTAAAAAGTAAATAGTTGGTAAGTTCATCAATAAACCTTTTTTCATTTTCCTAGAGATAACTGCAGAAATATTTATGGATGTATAATTGTTCATGTTAGTCTTATCTACAGTGTTTTATCATGGTACGATATAAGCGGTTCCCCATCATGAAGCATAAGATCCCGTATCCATTACGTATTCATTAATATTTTATATACTTTTCTTTGTTGTATTTTATCATTGTAGTAGCACATCAGTTTCTTTTAGAAATTATCAATGAAATTCATATTCCACCAGAATAAGTAAGTAGTAATAGGAATAAGTTCCATTGAATCTAAACATGTTTACTTGTAGTTTCTTCAATTAATGTTATATTTCTGAAAACTACTCCATTACATGTATATTAGGCCAGTATCCATTGAATAGTGCGATATACATATATATAATATTGAAATCATGAACCGATTTAAAATAGACTACCATTAAAAACCTAGAATCACAGGACGGCCGTTTCCTCCTAGTATAAGACTCTTGAGCAGTACGCATTCACAACGATTACACAAGTAAGATTCGAACCCAGGATCTTCAGTCTCACACTCTAAACAGTTCCATATGAAGAAACAATGCCCATCTAGTGTTCTTAGGTTCTTAACAGTGGTCAATTGTGATGAAATTCAACGATCTCCACAATCTCATACTGAATGATCAATAACATAAGGAAAATACCGTCTCCAAAAAATCATCAATATGTAACCTAATTAAATTATATTCAACACAATGTCTTACGAATGCATAATGATTGAATGGATGTAATACATATGAATGTATATTGTTGAATATTTTACTTATAACTAAGAGCCCAATTCATGTATTCATCCAGGAGATGTACAACTTGACTAGTTCAATCTTAATTAGAAGAATTCTAGGCGAGACTGTAATTTATGGATAGCCTTTGGACGAATCTTAAATGATCTTCAGAAATATTAGCCAATCGGAAAAAAGTTAGTCCAGGGCAACAATATGTTATACAAGACCAAAGAATTAAAGTGGATACACTTCTTTTACACGGTTCAAAAACTTGTCAAGGTTAGAAACTGGTTCAGAAGTTCCGAAATCATAATGCATACGGTGGAGTATATCGTCCACATAGATTCCATAATAGTCGGCCTCTGGGGCTATGATAAGGTCGTAAAAACTCTTTCAGCCTCGACCACATAGCTTCAATATGGGTTGTGTATACTTCGGTTATCGGATCCACGAAATGCCGCTTATGTATAGCGACATGATGCACATAATCAAGTCTATGTATGCATCTGTACGCTCTCCAACCAATCATATATATTGTAGTACCAAACTGAAGACAGTATTACCGGTGTTTTGATCATCCAGTTTGCAACGATTGTCATCATTTGCCTTAGTCTCAATCTGAGTCGAGCGAAAAAGTTCCTATCCTAATAGGCTTCTTCCTCCAACACATATTCCATCAAAAGACAACATCATCATGGTAGTTTGCACAACATCCACAAAACATTTGATTATCACAATCACAAATAGAGGAATTTCTTAGTAGTCCCATTTGTTACAGTCGTTCACTTATCTCGTTTTCCCTACAATCCTCTGTGAAACGATTGTACGTGAGCATCGGGTACTGAAGTTGGCGCTGTGACCATGAAACGCCTTGAACGTTTCTGATTGGCTCATCCATAAATCTCACCAAATTTCTATGATTACTGCATTCAAACTCTAAGTTAAACCTGTATCTTTTGTTTGAATTCTAGATTATTTATTTCCAATGGATGCATTGAAAATATAAATGATGAATATGTGCTTTCTTTTCATCGTATCGCTCATAACTTATAATAAATAACCGTCTTTTTATCATCCTAACGGGTAACAAATTGATTTCTTCTTATTTTAATAAATAAATGTTTATAATTACTTTATTGGTCTTAATTAGAACACTGATGTGAAATGGGATCATCTTAGTTGATATCAAATATCGTTGATAAGTCATATCACTATGTTTCAAAATGTTTCTAAACACAATAGTAGACCTGTTGCAATGATTCTAGCATTACCATTTAGTCTTGTCAGTGTTTCACCGATATCAATAGTACAATTAAGAATAATGAGCACTAGTAGAATGGCAGTAGTGAGAATGTTAGAAGTGGTAGCAGTAGTAGTATAAAGACAGAATTTTCAGTATATATATGTATATGGGATGGTGGTTGGAAATAGTTAACAGGAAGGCCTGGACCCAATGTTTCGGGCTATTTCGAACTCGTCAGTAAGATGTACCTGTTATATTGTCACCCAGTTTCACAATCACAGACGTTTTCATTGAGCTATCCGGGCCGCGACTTATCTCTTAGTATTAACTTCGGTTGACCTGAAATTTGTCCGAATCAAGTTGATACTCTTGTTTACCTGAACTGCATATTGAATGTGAATATCTTTTTTCTTACACATTTACACAACATTTTTATGCTTCACGATTTTTATTGAATAAAATTATCATTGAATATTACATAATTGAAAACACTATTCTTGAAAATTATCATAAAAACTAATTGTCAGTGAATGAATAAGAGGAACTATTGTCGTTGTCACTGAACTGGCGAGACTATAATTTATGGAAGAACCAATCAGATATAACATAACAGGTCTCTGATTTTGGCGCGAAATTCATTCATCCATTTGGTTAAATAGAGTCTTGGGATTTCAGTTTATGTCAGTTCATGATGAAAACCCTCATTCAAATTCCTAACTTCTAACCATCAACTGTAAATTCTAATTCTAATTCTTCATACTGGTGTATAAACCTCATTTGGTCCTATTTATTAGGTGTGCATTTTCAAGGTGAATTTAACGTCGTTCGAAGGTCGTCCATAAGCTACAGTCTCACCGATTTTCTGTAAACCTCTTAGATAGTTACGATGATTAACGATCATGCATGACACTATACAATCTCAATTAAGATTATATCGTTTATGTTTGATGATATAGATTACACTGTTTTCTTTTAGATAATGAAATGAACATTAATTTTACAATAGGTTATTTAAAAAATTTAATATATTTAGGTCGTCAGTTGTACACTCTACTGTTTTCTATGAGTTACATTGATGAGAAACCAATGTGAATGCCACATTCTTATTGTCTTTCATAGAAAGTGAAAGCTCAGAATTCAGAACTTGTTTTGAAAATGATGTTGGGTTTGTAAAAGGGCTACTATACCAGTTAATGACTTAGGATATCTCTAGAGTTGTAGAGGTATTGGTTCTTAACCGCATGATCTTTGAAGCTGGGCGTATAATTGCTGAGATTGACATTCAACACATAACACTAGGAGAAGACCAACAATGGTGAACGCGAGGATAGTTCGTCGAAATGACATTACTCGGTCATGCAGCTATGGTCACACTATGTAGTCTCTACATTTTGTATCGAGTTTATTACCATTTTCACGACTGTATTCTTCAAAAATGTTAGATGTCATACTACTCAATAAAATTGCAGTAATATTATTGTTAAAATCTCCTATTTTAGGCGACTCTATACTATAGATTGGACATAAACTAAAGGAGTCATAAGTTTTTTCCGTAAATTCTTACTTCTTGTAGACGGCATAAAAAACGAGAGGCCGAAAAAGATCTAAAACTATGGTCAGATACTCATGAGTATTGCATGCAAGTAGCTAACCCCTGCTTAAAAATAAACAATTAGCTGTTAGGAAAGGTCTGAAGAACCGCAACTAAGCTCCCATATGATGCACCACTGGCCAAACTAAATGTTTCCTTTGTCATATAGAAGAACCAGATGTGACCGGATCACAATTTTTAAATTAATTGTCGACATGTCCTCACCTTTCTTGTCCTTCGAAACAGAGAATTTACATGAACACTTCTATACTGTTCACAAGAAATAAAACAGTATTGTCTTTCATTTTTTGGTTACGATAAGTACTAAATTTACATATGTGGGGGATTCCAGTAAGAACTTATCCAAGATATGAGTACGCACAACTACTAATGATATACCAAAAACTATTAACACTGCGAACCGAATTGTCAGTATATGAGTAAAGCGAAACGGTAAAAAAGTGCGCTTACAACAAAACGGTGTATTATACAACAAAATGGTAACAGCTGCTATGAAATGAATGTTACTTGTAAGCTTCGCTTGAGATAATAACCGCAAATAAAGTCAGTTTTACAACGAAGGTTCGTCCACACGTGGTGGCATCAACGTCGTGACAAGAAAGACAAATCCGATAGTACCATTTAGTAATTAGTCGGGTCAAAACTCCAACAAAGTGTAGAATGGCCCAAATGTACGTTATAACCCTATTATAGCCTTCAAGCATAAGACTTGGCCAACAAAGTAAAAGAACAGACAGCGGAGATAATGCTTATTTGAATGACACCCAAGCAGCAGATAAAAGGTAAATAAAGGTAAAGAAAAGGGACATAAAGTGGACGACAGATTACGTGAAGGGGCAAAGCCGATTTTTTCCTACTTACATCTTGTTTTTTGGGAATTTTGTAGGTAAATATATGTAAAGTACTCCCTCTTGAATATGCCGCTTACTGTACTTACATTTTCACAAATCTCTCTGAAATAACATCTTGTTTAACAAAAAAGGGGCATCTTATCACATACAAATGTCTAAATATTCAGATACAGTAACTTTCCCGGGATGCATATGTTGTGCTATTTATGCCTACATTTATTATCGCTAGTTACCTCGTTTGTCCTATATGATGAATTTAGTAAAAATCAGTGAAAGTGCTCGTAGACGTAGAGCAATAGTGAACCTGTCAAGCGTCCTTGGTTGTTATAGATCGACAGGTAAACGAAGATGTAATGAAATGCAAACGACCTTCAGAAACAATCTTAACTTGCTTTCGTTTAATCAACTTGCTGATGAAAGCGCGAACAATAGTAGTTGACTTTAGCAGTAATTTATGTTGCATTAACAACAGCCAGCACTGAAATTAATTGTAATGAGAATCTATCAACTGTGAAAGCATCTGGCGGCCACAATAATGAAAGACCTCTGGATGATAGTGGTATGTGAAAGAAGTGAATTTCTTGAACTGTTTTTTGTAGGATGCAACGACTCTCATTTATGTTCGCAGAATTCAGTAAACTGGCAAGAAAATATCAACATCGCACTGGTTAATTTTATGACAAATAACTATCAGATCATCGGAGGTACTGATTGAATGCTGAATCTTCTTTGAGATCTTGTAACATATTTACCAAGCAGTTTTAGAACCTTCCTATGGATTCGCACAAG